TGTAGTTTCCTTTGGTCATTCGTTTTTCTTTGAACGTATAGAGACATAAATACAAGCAGTTCCAAGGACAAGCCATTCACATTATCTTGTGATAGTGTTTTGGAGGCTACATTATGTCTGTGGTTGGCGGCAAAAACATTTCAACAACGTATATACTGTACATTTCATAATCATAAAAAGGACCCAATGTTGTGAATGTAAGAGTGGATGAATGAAGGTCTTTAGAGTAACAGGTTGTATAAGTTTGCTCAAGTCACAGGACTCAATTTCCAAGTCAACCTCTGATTCATTACAGTTAGTAAGTGAAATACCAGAGTCAGGTCTTAAGTTATAGATAAAGTGATTCAAGTCGAACTTAATTAAAATTATTACTCAATGCCTCTGGCAGCTAATGAATATGTTGATTATTCTTTTTTGGTGGTAATTTTGTCATTTGACTTGCTTCATACATTTGCCTGAATTGTTGAAACCAAAAAAATAAACAATAAGAGAATATAAATCTAACCAGTATCAGCTCTAACTGGACAAACATGGAGAAAAAGAAAACAAGGGAGATGTGTATATGTTTCTTACTGTAGCCTGTAGAAAGGATCAGACACTGAGTTCAATACCATGACAATGTCCAGAGAGTTTTAAATCATCAGCTCTTTAACCACATAACAGCCTGATTAGATCGGTGTGTAGAGTTAGTGTGGCTGGTCATTGGGTCGGTGCTGTAGGATCATGACTCAAGGTCACCGTGAGCGACTCGATCGATACTGTCTCTGCAGCGGAGGCTCTTTATTGTGGGTTATAGCAGAGCACTCTCATCTCCGGCATTTATGGACTTCTATTATACCTCAGACCAGTCAGGAAAACATACTGTATATGACTGTTAACAGTATTCGAAGGCTTTTAGTCACCACCTTGATCTGCAACGGACAAAGCTTAAGGAAATGGATGGATGATCGCCGCCTCTTTCCAGCTAAACAATTAAGGAAAAAACACAATGCCGAGTACACTGGTCCTTCACTCTTAACGCGGTTCACCTTGTGTTGGCTTTTTGTTTCACATATTTTTGTGTGCGCAATTTTCTCCAACATCATATGCAAACATATTATAACTGCTAATATGACAGTGATGCTTATTTGAAGTCAGGAGAAAATCTTTGTGGCTTGTATCCACCGCAGTAATTAGTTCAGAGGACGACCGCAGTCTTCTTGTAGCCCTCAGTCCTGTTCCTGCCCTCAGCGCAATGTACTCTGCAGTACATTACAGTTTGCGCATAGCTTTTGACAGCTGCAACAGCGCTCATACCTACGGCGAACAGTTTTTATATCTAAGTGATCGTGAGTGGTTAGAAACGAGTATAAAGTGTCCGGGGTGAGGGATTTTACAGCCTTATTATCATAAAGCTGCTACTTCACAGATTTTGCTCAGTGCGTTGGTATTGCTTCTTTACCCCAGTGATAAGCAGTGTAATTCAAATTTCATCCATTACAAATTTATTCACTTTCAATGTTTACTTGTTTAGATGTCCACAGGTTATTCATCTGAGTCTAAGGCATCTTGCCCATGAAGACACTTTTATGTTGTTTCTGTTTTGGAAAAGTAGCATGCAGAAGGACAAAGACTGCTTTTAGGTGTCCAAACATTTTAGAAAGAGTGCCACTTCAGTTCACCAGACTTTTCCAGGGACCGACAACCCAGATTGAAAAAAACAAAACATTTTTGACTGGATTTGAGCTGTTCTGAGCTTTATAATTAGCTATGATGGAGCTGAAGTTGGCTGACTGACAAGTGTTTACCAACTCACCAGCAACAAAAGCGCCATAGACCAAATGTTGTGACACAATCCAAAACAAATGTCAGTATTTGCAAGTAAATGAATGAAGTCTACAAAGAGGTATACCATATGTATATGGGCTGAGCTGAAGTTGGCTGGATGACACTGTGAACTCAACGACTACTTTAGTCTGCATGATGATCTAACAATTGGTATTTATGCTTTAAAACAACGTTCTGTGTTCATGGAAAGTTTGCATGTTCATCCAGCTGTATATGAATAAAGATTACTTGTTGGCTATGTGTGTGAGTCAGGCAATAACTACTGGAGAGACAAAACATGGGTATTAGAATTGTATATTCGCTGGCAATTAATCTGACATTAAATAAATTAGATATATGACTCTGAGGACAATATTCTTTTATTGTTGTCGTACAGAAATGTGGTTATGATTTGGCGCTTAGACCCCGGCAGAGCGCTGCACAATTACAGAAGGGGAAAGAGTTAATCCCCAGAATCTAGACCCTGGCGGTGGTAGCTAGGAGAAAGACAAAAAACCTTGAACGAAGCGAAGATGGGGAGGAGGAGGGTTGCAGCGTGAAGAAAGCTGCTGCTGGATGGAGCTTCCTTGCAATATGAAGCTTGATGCGGGGCAGAGCTTCATTACTGCCATTTCCGTGTGGCACTGCAGCCGAGTTTGATTGACTGAATGCTGCGGCTGTGAGCAACAGTGGGAGGACTTTGAGCGCTGTTAGCTTAGTTCTTCCTGTCTGAATGTTCGCTTTAGCTTCATGTTCACATGTGTTTTGAATTGTATTCTTTGTAATCCTGGACAGCCATTGGAGGGTTGAATTGCTATACATGAAGCCATAAAAGGTCATATAACTGCAAAAATCTCAATTGACAATCATTTGTGAAATAGAAATTTATCCTTTGCTGAAGTTGGAGATTTTAAACTTGCTTCTTTATTAAGCTTAAGTTAGATATTTATTATTTTTTGGTATAGAGTGTGCTTTTGCTGTGTGCTCCTCATTCCTACTGTTCTGTAACTGGTGATGAAACACTGAAATTTCCCCTATATGGTACAAATAAAGTAAAGCAACATACATTGTGCTTTCTTGGACTTTGTTTTACATCCTATTTTCTGAAGTTCTTGATGGATCCAAAGTTTTGTGTGTACAATTTTCCTCCTGCTGTCTGCGCCCATGTATCTGTCACTGCGTAGCCTTGGTGTGGTCATAATTCCTGGATGGCAGTTCTGAAGATGCATTCCCTTTCAGCCGGGTCGTTTTTCTGGGCTGTAGCTTTCGACGTGGCTTTAGATCAAGATATTGTCAGGCACGATTGAAGCGAAGGGCCGCAGACAAGGCAAACAAGAGCCGAAGCAAGAGCAGACATTACGCTGATGAGTTGCGTTATTGGTTTTGGAGCTGGTTTTCTGAGGAGAGAGCCACCAGTAAGAGACCGCAGCGGTGATTTACCTTTATTAGTTCATGGGGGGGACGTGATGGAGTGAGCAGGTTATAAGGTGGACTGTGTAGGTTTTCTGATGGAACGTTCATCACCTGCTTGTCTTGTGAACCGGCCATGCAGGAATGCTCCATGGTGTAATACATTTTTTTTTTTTAAACATCTTTGTTTGAGGGGTTCATATGAAGAGCTCTTTTTCCCCATGAAAAAACTCTTCCATAGATTAATAATAATAATAATAATAATGCTTCGGTTTTATATAGCACTTTTCAGGACAATCAAAGACGCAGCATGTGTCATTATTCTTTCACTTCATACACAGTGGTGATAAACTATTACTGTAGCCACAGCTGCCCTGGGGCACACTGACAGAAGAGAGGCAATCAGTATGTGCCATCGGCCCCTCCGACCACCACCAACCATTCATACGCCCACATACAAGAGTAATTCTATACAAAGTGGGTGAGGTGTCTTGCCTTTCGACACAACAACAGTTTGGTACTTTACAGCCGCAGCTGTCTCACGGTGGCACCTGGTGTTCCTAGAGATCTTATATCACAGTACTAACCAGGACCTGCCCTGCTTATTTCAGAGATCTGATGGGATCTTACTTTTGCATACAAGTATGGCCACAGGAACAGATTTATTTATTACGTCTGGTTTAAAACAACAAACCAATGTATTAAAGATTAATAGTGATCAGAATAGATCAAAATAATATTGCTATCACAGTGTCAGACGTAATATACTCTATTGTTACGGTAAAATAGAAGTAAAATGCAGTGCTAATACACACCAAGGCTAACATGTTTTCGCATCGTGACGCCTGGTCTTTCACCTCTTTTGTTCACACAGTATTAATATTTCATAAGGAGCAAGACTGTATTCATTTGTTCTTGAATAGAAAATGGATAAAATGCATCGGGTGATTAAAGATGCCTGTGTGTGCCTGGAATACCAAGTATGTCTTGTATTGTTCAAAGATGAGTTTAGTATGCCACAAGTTAAACTGTATGATAGTCATTTATTGCATTCTGAATCTTGCACGGAATCTCAAATTGCCATAAGGAATTGAAGTTTGACAAGAATGAAACATAAATTGGTCAGTGTTCACCTGTTAAAAAAAGTATGGATAACTATGCATTTTATTTAATCTATCCATATACTGATACTGTTAACGCTAGGACTTCCAGAATTGACTGTTCCCATTCACGTTTTCATTCAAATTAAGTTATGTATAAGGTTTATTACCTTTACTCACTTTCTCTGCCTTGCAACACTGGAATGTCCTTGCTGTGGATAAGGGTGCTGCTATCTTCAAAAGATCAAGGTGTAGATTGGTCTATGGCATGTCACACCTTGAAAAGTCTGTTCCATTGTTCAGTATTCAGCTCTATTGCATTTGCCCTTAAATTACCAACATTTACTGGTGAGCCCATTCACTGGCACATCATGACTCCACTTTGAGTTCTGTGGCAATGGTACGGTTTAAAAGGCCACGGCAGAATTGGGAGCGAAATGTTAGAATGACTGATGCAGGGGAAGAGTAGTTACAATAAAACGTTCGCAGGTATTGGACAATTCAAGGCATTTTGTGCAATGTGAGTGCAGTGAAATTCAAAGCATGTTATTATGGGCGAGTCATAGATGATTTCAGCCTAATTTCAAAGTTTCACTCTGTAATTTATCAGGTGGGTAGAGACGATGGCTTTTTAAAGTGATGGTAGAAGTCATACTCTGGAATGTGTGCAGTTGGCAGTCCACCATGGTGAGTCAAAAGGAAACTTTCCAGCTAGTTTGTAAGTTAATGAAACTGCTAGAACTCTGAGAGCCATCGATTTCACTGCTGCTATTTAAACCAATGGAATTCTGAGAAATGTCACAAAACATTTTTAGCTTTTGGACAGATATAAAATTACTTAAAATTAAGTAATGTATACTTTTTTTATAGCTCTACAATTAATACGTGCTAAAACCATAGACTGTAAATATTAACGGACATAGTGCCGCCTATCTCTGCCGTTGAAACGTATGTGACATCATATTTCTCTCCTGGCGTCTTTTTAAAAATGGCCCCTACCGCAGGGAAATGAAAAAAAAAGGCATTAGCACATGCGCTAGCACAAGCCCCATTCCTTTGACAAGTGCATTCAAAAGTCCACAGCGGCTTAACTAGGCTGGTCCAAAAATATACTCCCCTCAGCATTGACACGCAACTGGAACTCAGCGTTGAGCCAAGAGCCGACTTTTAGACCAGGCTGTAAAGCAGTTTTTGAGAGGAAAAAGGCGGCATAGAATGCATTGCATAATTCTGTTTCCGGGTACACCCCCACTGGCAAGGACACAGTGCACATGCTCATGGACCCTTTTGAGCTGCCCCGCTGGCTAAAACTGTTTACTGTATGGCAATTACAGCAACATGCAGTTTGTTGAAAGGCTCAATACTAACCGGTTGCAAGTTTACATTATGTTGCTATGGAAACAAGTACCGGCTCTACTCTGGGAGGTAAAGGAAGAACTACCCTTGTTTCAAAAGTAAAAAAGTAATTTCATAAAATAATGACATAGACAAAAACTACATATAGAGACAGAGAAAAAGATAACAAGCTTATGAAGTTCAATAATGTGCATGAGTAATTAAATTGGCTAAACTAAAACGTCAAATTGCGTTCTAGTGTTAATGAAGGTTGGTTACAGCCTTAGTGTTCACCCTAGAGAGTTGCCTTGTCCTAAAATTGTTAAAATTGAATTTGCAAAAAACTGAAATAAATTATTTTTTATTAAACAAAGAATTTGAGCTTTTTGCAATGAATGTTTCCCCTGTGGACATGTTCCAATCTCCCATTGTAGGCGTTCAAATGACGACCGTAGTTATTCAACACCCTGAATGGGATTAGCGCAGCACTTTTGCGTAATCACGTTAGCCTCATTTACACAAATATCCTGGTCCAATTGTACAGGAATTGAGTTGTGAGAGACTCCCGGGAGCGGAGTGGTAATAACTGGAGCCTGGTGTCATCTGTCAACTTCAGCTCTGCCCTGCTGCGTTTACATGTGAGGATAAACAACCACAACTCTAACATGCTAGAAGCTAATGTGACGATAATGTTAGCATCTTCTACTCCATTGGCTCCGGAGCATTCATGGCATTACAGGAACACAACCCTGATAAACATGTGCATATCGTTTGCAAATATTGTCGTCTTTGTTCCCTCTATTTGGATGTGGGTTGGCCTGTTGTAGCAATTTTAGTCACAATTTAATCTCATCAAAACAAATAAAACATTTGAGTTGATGACAAACACTCAAATTCAAGGTAAAGGATGAGACACCTAACACAAATAAAATGAAATGCTGTCTAAAAAGATAGCAACACCAAATTATCCTCACATTTTGGAGTACATTCAAACTAACAGAAACCTCACACAGCTTTGAACTACTTGAGCATAATGTCTTATTTTTGTCATTATTGGATGGGCAGGATGTAAGGTAGTGCTTCTGTTACACCCGATTCCATATTTTTAATCTGAAGTGCACTGCCCTCATTCCTACAGTCATCTTGCTTGTGCATATAAAAGTACATTCTGGAAAAGTAACATACTGTCTCTTTTCACAATAGGTCGACAGATATAGATTTGTTAGGGTCAATACAGTCTATGGTCAATACTGATGCCGATAATTAGTAGTCAAGAAGGCCGAAGATCAATGAGCTGATTTTCATTTGCCATAGTGCCATAGATTTTTGTCTAAATGTCGAATACGACAAAGTCCAACTCTGAAGCACATGTGAGACGATGGCTTTTAGTTTTGGACGCGTAATTACTCAGCGTATGTACCTTTTTGGTTGTCATAGTTTTTTATGCAACTTTTATTTTTAGAATATCAGTAGTTCTACCTTTAAGTAGAATTCAATTCCATTTTCAAATCCTTTCTGTCCTGGACTTGTGTTTGGGCCGGTTTTGGTTCAGCTTGGTTTTCCACCAGAGAAAAGCAAGTGGCAATATAACAATACAACGCTTACTGTCATGTTACTATATGCAGTTAGCATGTAGTCTTTAGCATTAGCCTTTCAACAAACAGTTGTGTATAAGTTATTATCTAAAAAAGTAAAACTTCATACATTACTTTCTATTAGGACTGTACTGTACTGAAAATGTGACGCAGGCTTTGTTTCTGACAATGTTCAAATCCAGGTTAAAACAGTTATTTTTAGTTGCATACAACTGAGGGATTTTATCTTCGCTCTTTTTAATGTACTGTGATTTCTTATCTCATTCGATGTCTTTCTTTTTGGTATGCTCATCAGACTATGCAGGTCAAATGGGACAAATGTGTGTCAGAACTATTTCAGATTTTTAAGGGTGTGGAACAAGGAAGTCTGTTGTCCCCTGTGCTCTTTAATTTCTATATGTATGACCTGTCCAGGCAGCTGAATAAGTGCAAAACTGGCTGTATGGTTGGTGGTGCTTTAATTAAACACTTAATGTATGCGGACGACCTGGTGGTGTTTAGCCCAACTTCAGCCAGTCTCCAGCAGTTGTTAAATGTTTGCTCTGAGTTTGGGGAACTTCAGGATGTAAAATACAACTCCACTAAAAGTGTAATCACAATCTGCTGAACTAAGGAAGACAGATCACTGAAGTTTCCTGACTTTTTGCTCTCAAGGAACATCTTGACTTTGTGTGATGCGGTCAAGTACCCCGGTCACATGATAACTGACCGTTTGACCGATGACGAAGACATGTATCGTCAGTGCCGGATGTCACATAGAGTAAACACTTTGCAAGCTGTCTTGAGAAATTTGATGTTTAAGTTTATATGTTGCCTGAACAATTCAAAAAAATGTGATTATTTTATTGTCCAGTGTTGTGGGCAGCGGTACGTTACTCGTCGCTGCTTTGGAAACATTGGTATGACTGCCTCTTGAAAGTTTAGAGGTTTTTATTGTCTGTTGTTTATTTTTAATTGTTTTCTTGTCTGTGTTGATCTGGACCTTGAGTCTGCAAATAAAGTTATCTATCTGTCTAACTATATCTATTTATGATTGTAATGCTTCTATCTTGTTTTGTTCAGCACTTTGTGTTACCTTGTGTATGACTTGTGCTATACAAAGACATTGGCCTTGCCTTCCTACTTTCTCTTAAGAATTTGGTGAAAAACAAAAACATTTTGATCACAATATAATAATAACTGAACTAAACTAATCAGACAGTTTGTGAAGGTACCATTACAGTAGTAGGAGTCAGTAGGCTGGACTTGACTAACGATTTGACCAGAAAAAAAAAAAATGCTAGAATCTGTGTGGAGTGAAGTTCAGCAGTTCACACTCACCCCCATTACATTCTATGGATCATAGTGTAACAAAATGTTTCCCTTTCTGTTCTCTCTCTCCTTTAGGTGACCGAGACCAGGACGGGCCCTCTTGGATGCAGTAACTATGACAACCTGGATTCTGTCAGCTCCGTTTTGGTCCAGAGCCCTGAAAACAAGATTCATTTGCAAGGTTGGCTATTCGTAATTGAACCCGCACCAATTTCTGATGGAATTCTCACTGCTACGTTTCCCTGGCAAAAGCTCATATGCACCGCGTGAGAATGTCGCAATGAATTAAGCTTCAATCACTCGACTTTTTAATGCTATTTTTTCCCCTCTTATTTCTACATGGCCAAAGTGAGTGAGATGAGCAAGTAATGAAATCGAGAGAGGAAGAAAATACAAGTTTTGTCTTGTGCATGAAAATGTAAAATGATTTTGTTGTTGTCATGCCCCCAGGACCTAAAATATAAACAAACTGTAGTATTTATTTCTGCTTGTGTTTTTGATTCAGATGATTTTCAATGTAGTGAATGAGTAGTTGCTTTTTAACCCCAGATTTAGCTACAGAAATGTGCTTTGCTATGTTCAACCAAAAATGCATTTGATTGATTGGATTTTTGAGCTGTTTTTCAAGCAGAAATTATCATAATATAATTAAGAGATTCTGTGGGAAAAAATATACTGTCTCACACCCACACATGCACACACCCACACAGATACTGTACTTTATCTGTAGCCTGTGTTCTGTCGAGTTGGTCTGCCCGTCAGATGGGTCTTGCGCAATTATAATTTATATATATCACATACTATTGTTGGAAGCCTTACACACTATTTTGCTCGATTAGAGACAGTGTTATTTTCCCGTAATTTTTTCACTTTCGGTTTAGATGTATCTATGGCCATATCGAAGCACAGTAAAACTCCTTAGTCACGGAGAGACTTACCCAGAGCTCACTGTAGGTGAGGGTGCGAATGTAGATTGACCGGTAAATCGGATTTAATCTCTGCAAACACCAGAAATTAAATCTTGAGGTCTCCAAACCAGACTCCCTCTGGCCTCTGGCTTCACCAAGAAATTCTGTCCATGAAAACGGTGAACAGAACGGGTGACAAAGGCCAGCATTGGCGTGGGCCAAACAGTCTGGGTACAGGTCTGTGTTGCTGCCAATACAAACTCAGCTGAGGACTGCTCTATTTCCACCACTGCATACTAAGTGCATACCGTGAATAACCTTACAGTATATTACGTTCTAATTATTCATTCATAACTTGACATTGTGACATTATCACCTTTCACTGCCACAGGGCTCCAGTCGGTGCTGCCAGAGTACCTCCGGGCCAGATTCGTAGAGGCGGCGCTGAGCTACATTGGCTGCAATGAGGAGGGCGCACTGGTGTGCCGGAACAACGACTGCTGGTGTGCGTGTGGACCGGACCACCCACACTGTAACTGCCCCGCGGTCGAGCTCAAAGCCATGGAGACGAGCCTGCTGCAGATCCGGGAGGCCTGGACGCTCGCCAACCACGACTTTGAAGAGTCAGGTGAGCTCTAATGCATGCACCGTTCACACACGTGCATTGATGAGATTACCATGTGAGCTAACAGATCACCTTGGACACCAAACATTCAGTTGTAGAAGCTATGCTTTCTTGTCAAAGAACAAAACATAAATCATGTTTCAGAGGTCTACAACTATCAGAATGCCAAAGGAACATGGTAACTATGATACAACACTATTCTCTCATCAAAAAGCCATCTGCATTTCTTGAGCATCAGCCACAAATTATCCTCACAGATTACTCTGTGTCAAATCTGTTTTTAAGAATGTCAGGCAAAGCTTTGGATCTGGTTTGCCCTCCTGGATATTAACAACACATGCAATAAGAAATATTGCAATAGGAGTTGTAATTCCCATTGACTTTAAAAAGTTTAAAATGTGCACATCCGACTTTGACAGTAATGTTTAAGCAGACCCCACACAGCTCAGCCAAACTTAGAAAAGGAAAAGACTTGCATACTATAATTTCATAGTGTTTTACAGATTTACAGATGATGAAAATCATTTCAGATTTCTTGTCAAATTGGACCTAGGGGACTGAATTTGAAACAGCATTAGACCGCCTTGAAATGCTGCTCATTTCTCAATGCAATTTTCTTGATTCTCTTTATTAACATGTGTATTTTTTTCAAGAAGTTGAAACATATGATCGTAGGTTCTTAAAACCTTTGATGTTCAGGGCCAAAATAATCATGCGGCTTCACCATAAGTAAATACAATTATTCAATTAATATGCAATAATAATGTTTAGAAATAATATTATTATACACATAAAATGATAACATTTTTCATCAGCTATTCATCCATCCATCCATTATCTTCCCCTTAATCCATACATGGGTCGGGGTGGTGGCAGTCAGAGCTGCACCCAATTCACAGAGCACCAGCTCTTCACTGATCCTCCTGCATGTGGTGAGTCCACAGGAGGAGGAGGATCTGTCAATGACAGCATAGCCTTGATCTAAGTATTTTGCCTAAGGACACAACAATAGGATTGAACCCATGACCTTCAGGATCCAAGGCCAATACTCTACAAACTGAGCTATCATCAAGGTTAATTTGACTTGTCTTAGGTTTGCTAATCCTCAATACCAGGGTCACATTAGGTTACTTTCTTCCGTCTTCCTATGGTGGGATGTATACACCCATGTTGACCAGATCTACCTCAAGAAACAAACCAGGAATATAAAAGTTGACTTCATAATTTGAATTTCCTAATGTAAATACAACAGCCACTTCCTGTCTGTCAGAGGCTCAGAACCACAGCAGACTCATTACGGCACTGCACGAGTCATTTATTACTGGCTTTATTTGTTAACCTCACCGTTTTATGAGGTTGCTGCAAATCCCCTGATAATTGTGTTCTGACCCACATTAAAATGACCGTTATGGCTCATTTAGAAAAGGCCAAAAAACCTGCAAGTCCCCAAGCTTCTGCTAGACTCAAAATATTGGTGTTTATGCTTGGAGTTAAGAATATGTACTGCAGTAAGATTTCAGGAAAAAAGCATTGCCTACACACACACTGACTTGAAAGCATTTTTGATTGATTCCTCATAAATGACATTCAGAGATTTCAGAACCAAAAACTGTTTCTCTGAAGTCGCAGTTGTACTTTTTTGGCACACAGACATAACAATGGTTTAATTGCTTTAATTGCAGCTTGTACCTGCTCTATTCATCCCGATGAGGGTTCTTCATTTCTTCGCTCATGTTCTTACTATTGTTATTACGGGAAAACATAATTAAGACCTTTATTTATTCAACAGATCATTTTAAGGACTACAAGATTAACTTTAGCTATTCATCTAAATGTTGCGTTTTTCATTGAGCAGTACTAAAACTTCTATATGAAAATCTACTTAAAAAAGGCTGTGTCGTCACTGACAGATCAGCCATCCTCCTGTGGACTCACCACCTGCAGGAGGATCAGTGAGGGGCTGGTGCTCTGTGGATTGAGTGCAGCTCTGACGTGCACCCCCCGACCCAAATATGGATTATGGGGAAGAACATGGATGGATGGTTTCTTGAGGTGGTGGCCATCTCCAGTGGTGATGGCAATATGAAGCCCCATGAAGCATTGAGGGTTTGCAGCCTATTACTCGGCCCATGGTTCGAAGGCTCGAGGTGATTCATGCTCCACTACGCCATCATGTGGAAAAAAAAATATAACGCTTTTAAGCTTACAATGAATGGTGGGGTCTATTATTAATATTTACAGTCTATGGTCTAAACATGTTGTGTTTGAAATGATGCTCCATGAACTATGAACTATTTAAAGGCTTTCAGTCAATTGAGTTGTTACAACAAACATATTGCATCCAAAGCAATGCAGTTTAACAAAAAGTTTTAAATTGAGGAAAAACTACCATGAGGTGGATTATTTAAACACAACAAACCATTTATTCCCAAAAATTAGATATACTGTGTCTACTTTGCAAATACAAAACTGATTTTGAGTCAAGCAGGATTCGAACTACATATTTTCAACTTCAGAGTCCAACAACTACCGACTGTGCCACGCAACTACTATTACTAAGCAATTACTCAACGTTTATTCCAACTTCCAACGTATTATTAACTTAAAAAGTTCTTAAACTCCTACATCTGTTTTGGCTCGTGCACAAAAGTTTGGCATACCCAAATGTCTTTGCTTATTTAAAAACACATCTTACATCTCACATGCTTGTGTGATGCATCATGTTAAAGCTAGGCCCTTCTAGTTTATGTAAATATACACTGAAATAATGTATGTCATTCCTATTTTACTCTGCATCCTTTGAAGTTTGGGTAAAAAACCTGGTTTTTTTAGCCTCACCTAAAAAATTCAATGTATAAATGACCTAAAAAAGCCTACTTCATTGGAAGAAGAAAATGTTCACGCTAATTTGTTTGTTGTGTTGTTGACAACAACTGTGTAAAGTTTCAGACTTCAAAGTTTTATAGTTTTTATGCAGTTTCTCTTTTTTATCAAGTAGTGCCATTATCGGAACCAATTTGGCAAAATGTGTGCCAAATTGTGCCAAACTGCTTTACTACCATTTCACCATCATAAAAAGCATATTTTTTAGTTTTAGTACTTATAAGTTACAAATCTGTGTGATTTTCTAAAATATTTTTTTAGTAAGCAATAACTGTTACATTTTACTTAGTCATCATCAGACATTTGTATAGAGCTGAAACAGCCCAAACCCGTACTGTGTTCTTCATACGGTGATGGTTTCTTGTGCGTTCTTTTTATATTGAAAAATGTGCAACTACACATTAAAATGTGATGAAGTGGAAGACTGTGATGATCCCTCCGTTTACTGGCTGCTGTCAAATGGACATGCCCCTGTTAGCCTTGACAACACAATCCGGAGCTGACAGGACAGTGATGCTGAGGAAGTGCCGCTACACCCTCACACACACTGCACGTACGCACACACACCAAACACACATTAAAGACTTATGACGGGTTGGATTTATTTTAGAATACAGTTTTAATACAAATTTCTATATTAGTAGAGAACTACTAAAGGTTTTCAAAATCAGGTGTTGTTTTTTTTGTCTTCCCCCCCCACCCCCCCAGCCTACCCCCCCTAATCGAAATAACCCCATACAACGCCCTTAGAAACGAAAAAATTCACAGCCCTTGGTGACGTCAGAACGGGTACGATTCAACGCTGTACTTGTTTACAATTTGATATTCGTCTTTTTTCGCGATATTCAAGATGACAAGGCCGTGTACAGCGTGTAGGAATATCTACTAGAATGTGACATTTCGCTGTCTGGGTCACTGTAGATATGTAGTCAGTGGTTGTGTTTGATGGATTGGTTCAATCTAGATACTTGGGTTCAATTTCCCCCACCTCGGACACTTTTTCACTTCTCAAAACGGCTATGTATGGTAGTGACATTGTTCACCTGTAGAGGCAGTATGTGTTGGGCATCCAGTGGTGAGAAGAGAGAAAATCCATTCCCTGTGGCATAGGCTATATCCACACGAAGACAATACGCTTTAAGTTACAGAAACTTTTTCTGTAAACACGAGTTACTCTTTAAAATGTTGCCGTCCATATATGTAGTCAATCCGCCTGAAAAAAAACGCCCTGTGAAACTATGCCAGACCTGTTGGTGGCGCTGTGACGCTATGACGGGATCTAAGCCCAAACTTCCGGGGGCATGCGCGGAATTTGTAAACAGACAACATGGCGAGTTGGCACTGGTACAACAGTAGAAAATGGACACGTATGAGGTTGAACTGTTGCTTCGGGTCACACTGGATTACAAAACCAACAAGCTACATTGTTGTTGTCATTATTTTTCCTGAGTGGCTCATGCTGCTTAACAAGAGGCGGGCGATGACGTAAAGCGTCTCAGATACAATTGCGGGAGAGGCTTAACACGAGCGGCATATACTGAGTTTTGAAATCTTTCCACTCTGGTAACCTAGTTTCAAAAATGTTCTTTACTCCCCCCCAAACGCCGCCTCGTAAGACGATCCACTGGATGATAAAAGTATTTTTGCGTTTAGGCCTGAGATTGACATTCGTGGTGGACAGGGCCAATAGATCCATGGTTTTTCAATGCATGGGGCGTAACCCGCTATGCCGTCCACACACAGGTTAAGCATAGACAACGTAAATTCAGGTAAAACACGTTCTTTGTTAGAAAATATAGGATTTTTTTTTGCCGAATCTCTTTCAAATTGACTTTGTCATGCATTTTTGTATCCACTATTTTTTTTTAAAAAAAAATATCCCTTCATAGGTCTTTAAGTCTAGGTAACAAACAGGAGACCTATTTTCCTCCAAGTAGTTTCTTCAATCCAGGAAACAATGAATAGATGTCATACTTAGGAAAAAATATGCTGCCATTCCCTGTATAAACGTTCTTTACCAAAAGTGAAAAATTTTTTCTTTCTAGGAGTGGAAGAGACCGTAATATCTACTGTTTACATTAGGTCATGTAGATGACCATAAGAAATGCTTGGCACATGTCCACCACAGAGT